CACACACACACACACACCTACCTACCTATACCATGACGCACCCACTCACTCACTCATACACGCGGGCACGCGCGCACACACACACACGTACACACACACACACGTACACACACACACACACACACACACACACAACATCTCTCTCTCTGTCTCTCTCTCTCCCTCTCTCTTTCTTTTTCTCTCTCCCTCTCTCTTTCTTTGTAGCAGACGCAACCCACATTATGCGAATTAATCGTGCTCTGAGCCGCTTCATCACTCACACGACATTACCCTCTCTCCCCATACGGTACATCCCTCAAAACGCGCGGATCTGTGAGATGTAACCTAGGCAGGTAAGCGCGCAGCTCTTGCGAGACTTGTGTGAAAATGAATGTCGAACATTTCCCAGTTGTCAGCTCTAAATCGCTGGCTCTCGGGGCTGATAAAGGGAGAGTGGCCGACTAGGTGAGGGAGGGAGGGAGGGACGGAGGGCTTGTTGCCCTTTTCCTCAACTGAGCAAGGGAGCTGGGCGAGGATCCATTTCCCGGTAGACCGGATTTCGTAGCGCCCGATTTCTCTAGTGGTGAACTTTTTGAACCGAGAACGCGCACACTGTCGTGTGGGGAAAATACTCCTGAACCCTAGATCCGATTCGTTGGAAGTACTAAGCCATTGTCATCCACATACGGCAGGGATTAGGTGCTATCGACTCTAGTCAAGGGTATATTGTATTCAAGGGAATATTATTGTAATGAAATATCTCTCCTCGCTTGTATATTAATGTGACGTCGTGTTTCTCTTTGCCGTCTCTTTTAACGCTACGCTTTATCACAAAGCCAGTGAGACCAGTTGAACACGGAGGAGTACCTTTCTGTTCTGCCGTCAGTAGCTCTAATAATGTGTTTTATGAACCAGTTTTTAAGTTCGGGTCACCACCCACCAGTGCCACCAATCCGTGCACCAGTAATCCCTTTTGTCGAACATAACCGGTTAACCGGATTTTGTGTAACCGAACTTTTTGAAAATTTCGGATTATTCCCCCCCATCCTTCACCACTGAGCAGACCACCACCTACCTCCTCCTCCTCCTCGTCCCGCTGTGTACATGTAAACTGTGGCAACTAGTTTAGGCCTGGGTAGATAACACTGGGCCTCACTCAGCCCCCCAGAACGGCGGTCTGTCAGCCGACCAGCTAGCAGCAAGGATTGTGGTTTCCTCTCCCCCTGAACCACCGATCGTGCGTGAGAGCCAGCGCTCTTGTCGAGTAGATCTAATGCCGTAAAGCTGGGGGAAAACATAGCTCTTGGGAGGAGCAGAGAGAGCAGTAGAGCAGTGCACGCTTCATTATTCAGACTAGGTAGTGAGCGACCTAGTGCTGGCCTGCTCACTTTGTAACTGGGGAGTCGAACCGACGCAGCTAGCAGCGCTCCCGCCCGTGCAACAAGTGGATAAGTGCTCGTTTCCTGCCCATGGGGGAAAGGCTGGCTGGCAGGCCCGAGGAAGGCCTTGTATTTGTTACATCTCTCCCCTCCTTCAGGACTCGAGACTAGAGGCTAATGAGGTCGTATCTTGCACTGGCCACACGTTCGCCCCTCTCCGCCTACGTGATGTGTTTTGGCTGATTTTCGAACAGGGATTTATTGAATACAAGGAGACGTGACAAAAAGATTCTGTTTTTGTTGTTGGTGTTTTTTGTTTTTTCCTAAACTGTTGAATGTACTTGTGCGTCGCTTTCTGTTGGAGAGTGTTGCGACGGGCGTAGTAATTGGTAGACCGTCGTAGTATAAATTCGTTTCGTAGCTTATTTCATGCGGTAGGCAGGTGCAGGTTGGATTTGTTTTGCTCTCTTCACAACCACCACACAGCAAGGATGGACACAATAGACAAACTTTACGGAGGAAGATAACGATTCTACAGAGGATAATATAGCTAATTAGTATGTATTTCTTTTTAAAATTGCGCCATTTCAGACGATTTTTCACCCCCGTTTATTTAATTTGATCTTCAGTTTACGGATTGCGACATTCTGCCATCGACCAAGTGTCATCGAGTCCGATTCTGTTTGCCTGGTGTTGTGAAACTAACCTCACATTTGATTGAAATTGATAGAGCAGAGAAAGGACGACACAGAAAGATATAGGGAGAGGGGGGTCTAGTGCGTGTGGTGCGCTTTTGGCTGCCGGGCGGGGAGCGCGTGGGGTGGCGTTTATGTCTGTGGTAGCCTCGGCGCTGTACTGTGCGGTACTGTAGCCACATTCTACATTCTGCTCCTGCAAGACGAGTGTTTTACTCGATTTGCGACTGTTCCTGGCTGGATTTCCCGGTCTGTGATCTAGGTGTGAAGGACGTGGCCAGTCTTGGGTGCCATCACAGAGCCAGAGGGCGATGGTCTCCACAGTGTGCCCCCAGACGTCAGCTGGAGAAGGAACGGTACTTGATGCTGCTGGGCGAGGGGTGGGTGACCACTGGTCGCCCACTTCCTCCTCACCTCTCCCTCTCTACTCTACTGATTCACCCGTCTCACGTGTGCTAGTGTTCTGACACTGACGTGTTTTTTGTTGTTGTGTAATTTGTCGTTGTTGCCGTTTTGTTTTTGTTTTGTGTGTCGTATTTTTGTGGTATTTCGTTACCAACATTGTATGTGTGTGTGTGTGTGTGTGTGTGTGTGTGTGTGTGTTTGTGTTTGTTTGTGTGTGTGTGTGTGTGTGTGTGCGCGTGTGCGTGTGTTTAGGTATGTTCTCTGACCATACAGCTAAAACGGATTATATTCAAGGCGATCGTGTGAGTTTGTGACTTTGTTCTGAATTCTGGACGATTGGGCAGTTCCACAACATACGACGGTGGAATATTTTGCCTGGGATATTTTTGCGTCTTCCTCTCTCGACCGTGTCCAAGTCGCAAAGTACAAAGTAGAGAATGGTCTCCGACAAGGTTATACACGTTTGTCTTTCGTCACATTTGGTTGTATTCTTGTGCCTTGAGTATGTGCGTCCTGTCTCTTGTTTACATGTAGATGGTCTCCGGGTCCTTTGATGTGGTTTGCTTTTTTTTTGTTTCGTAGTAAACATCTCTATTGATCTTTTTATCGTTCTTCCCGTACTTCTTTGTATGTTACTTTCTAGCAACAGCTTTAATCTTCAGCACTTGTGTGAACTATTTGTGTTGCAAGTGCCGCAAAACTCTTACTGAAGAAACCACCAAAGTCTTTGTTTACCTTTTCCCCCTCTCTCGTGTCTCCGCCCAGTTAGTTATCGTTGGCTCGGCGTGCACGATGACGTCAGGGAATTTAGGGTCGGCCGGTTGTCAAGTCAAGGCTATGACTTGTATGAGTGATAAGGTTGGGTAAGGTGGTCGGGACAGGTGGGGCTGGTTGAACGTGCGCGCCTTGGACTTTGGTGTAGCAGTTCGCCGTCGCACACAGAAAAATCCGAGTTCGGTTCTTATGTAGATGGAGAATATTTTTGTCGAGTTTGTTGATGTTGGAAAAAAACATGAGTTCGATTCTTATGTAGATGGATAATTATTTTGTCGAGGTTTTTTTTCTTCTCTTTTCTGCCAGGATGTTGTATCACGCTCAACCCAGTCGGCACTGATATGACCTTATACTTATTGTGTTGCAAGTGCCGTAAAACATTTACTAAAACAATAAAACGCTCAACCCTGGTTGGCCCTGAACGGCAGGGTCGAAGCCCGCCTCCTAAATGATCTAAATTGTGTCAATGGGGGCGTAAAAAGACATATCTACTTATTATTCTTTAAAAGATAAGGTTGAATGAACGTTTCCCTTTCCTTGTGTAAGGCTAACAACCCTTTACCGTGTTTTATTTTCTTTAGGGTGGTTGGCCAAGAGATTGGCTCTTTCCTATCGTAGACGGACAAGGACATTAACCTCAGAGGTCTCGCCTCGTAGATAACCTGTTATTATTGTTAATTTTATGGAGGGGCGTTTAACCCATACGCTTATACTTACAAGTTTTTAATTAAAAGCTGTTTTTGTGCAGTCTCGCTCGGTCCTCCACATCGCTTTGCTTGCTCTCAGCTGGATCTACACATAATTATGTGTCTACATGTGTGCAGGAGTGGTGATAGGCGCTCTTGTCAAGAAAGTTTCCTTATACGGGGTGCCCACTATGGCTGGATCGGGCCGATCGCCCGACTCGATCGCCTGAAACTGAAAACAAACACGTTTGTTTTTGAGGCGATCGAGTCGGGCGATCGGCCGATCCCATCCGTAGTGGGCACCCCGTATTAATTGTGTTACCGCTCTTCTGTTTCTGGTGAAATTTTGTCGCAGCGTTGTTAGGTCGGCTTGTCGTAAGACCTGCCGCCCTTATTTCATTCTCGGCGACACACACACACACACACACACGCACTCACACACACACACGCACACACACACGCACACACACACACACACACACACACACACACACACAGACACATACATACATTCTGTTCTCGTACTGACTAGCTGTAACTACAGTCCGCAGCACAATTTATATTTATGTATAATGTCATCACTTTTCCATTTTGTCCGGTTTATAAATGCAGTTGAAATTGTCCATGGCAACTACCGTCTAGGAGGAAAAGTGGTTGTTTTAGACAGGCTGTCGTCTTTGGGCAGTGTCATTATAGATTTTAGAGGGGAAAAAAACTCACTGCTGGTTATTCTGGGGACTTTCTAAATTAATGCAACGTATTCTGAAGCGAAAAAAGTAACAACATCAAAAACAACGTCCATTTTTAAACAAAACAAAATCCGTACTTCCACTTCCTCAAGGACGTCTCTCTACTTAATGTACTCGCCCCCCC